CCAGAAAGGCACGCTGGGGGGGGGAAATCCTATATGAGAATAACTCTGTGCTTTAGGAGTCAATAGAGATCACATAATCACTAAGAATGTGGCTGTTATTTCTGTGTTGTGTGGTTTATGCCTACAGCATTTTGGCCTATATAAAATAAGTTGTGATTAGTCTGTTTTTTTAGTGGAAAAACATCTTTCTGGTAAGCAGCTTATGCAGACAGCCCGAGGGAAGAGAAACTAAAACCAGGCTCTCATCTCTTCAAATAGTTCCTCCTGCACGCAGCTGGGGCATGCTCGGAGGTCACTGTGTGAGAGGCTTGCCCTGCTATTTACCAAGCTTCATCTATAGTGTTGTTTAAAAGTATTTGGAGTCCTCTATGGTAAACTGGGTACTCTGCTGAATGTTGAGTGTTCTTTTTTAAGAGGCCTTTTAATAAAAGGTATCTATATACAAATTTTAAAAAATGCGCGCACACACCACAGCCTTATTCATTGAAAGTCACTTTAATGATGTTACAATATGTCAGTAACATTGAAAACCACAGGTATTTGTATTAAATACTCTCATAGAAGTGGTTATTACGATGTTAATAAAACTGTGCAAGAAATTAGAACCCCAAATTACAATGAGTTTATTTTATAAAAGCAACATTTTGTTTAGCTATAGGAAAGCCAGTTTCACTCACTTGAATGGCCCAATGCCTATAATGTTTGTCAAAAATATCACACTCAAAACTGCAATGATAGAATGTGCAGCATTTCTTGTTGGTGTTTGTCAAAACCTGATGTTTCTGTAATGTAGTGTAAGAATTAGGAGGGTTTCAGGTAGCAAAGACAATGATTTGTAAAGTGATTGTTTGTCAACTTTAGCCAGTCCCCAATGATGAAACCAAGTACTTGTCCACTATGAATGTTTTACTTGCAGAGGATAGCTTCAGAAATTAATAGATCTTTTTTATAGCAACACATGATAAAAATACTAACACAAAACAAAGCTGGCAGACTCAACTGCTATGTACAATGCCAAAAGCTTTTCTGAAAGTGGTCATAGTGTAAATAGTATTTTCTCCTGCAGATTAAGCAGTGCATAATTTGCTATTTTGGAAAAATAACATTTTGCATCTATGCAATGATCATAATAAAAAATGAAAAGTACAATATTCTGTATAAAACACTAAGTACTGGAATATTTTTTACCCATAAGAAAAAAAACAGGTCATATACTCATAGTCTGAACCTACACTCGATTATTCCCTAGCATAAAATGCAAAGGCAGTGAGCAGGAATCCTTCTACTATTACAATATGATATATTAGCACTTACTGTATTACAGCCTTACAGTATCGTATGTTTATCTGTTAGCACCACTATACTTGAAGGTCAGTCAGGCAAATTTACAGGAGTTTCCAACCTGCTTGTAAAAAAAATACTCAGCATCCTAAAGCTTGAATACATAAGGTCTTAAGGCCTTGTGTAAGTTTTTAAAAAGAAAACATTTTTAAGTCATAATAATGCAGAGAAACAGAAATAAATTGGTGTATTGGTTTTGAACTCCTGTAATTAAAACCAGCATTAAAAATGTTATCAACTGAATTGATACCCCACTCTGACTCCTGAGTCACTCAGCCTTCCCTCCCCATAGCGTGCTTTTTAATTGTCTAGTTCTTTGTATTTCCCCTAATCCTCATTTCTCTCTGAATCCTGTGGCAATTCAGGTCTGTCTATACTGCAAACATTTTCTGATTGGTTTAAAGCTGGTTCAGCTAAAGTGACTTTAAAACTGATGGAAGTTGTGATTTAGAACTGGTTTCAGAGGGCTAAAGAAGCCAGACTGGCTTAGCTGAATTGGTTTTAAAACCAGGTATAAAGTTTGCCCAGTGTAAGACAGGCCCTTAAAACCCCAACACAGTACAGCATTACTATATCCTGACATGGTTTCCAGCACTTGTTCCTGTCACCTGGTTTAAGCAATACAGTTGTGGACTTTTCCCAAATGGTTGTTGAAAACTGTTCTGGAGGCTCAGACTCTATCCCCTGAGCCCAAGAAATACTTTTTAAAAGTTATGTGCTATCCACACAGGCTGACACTAGCAGCCACACATGAGTCTGACCAGCAATCCCATATTGCCCAATAGAGGGGATAATGCATGGAAGCTATGCACACAGTGGGGCATCAGCAGCACGTGAGACAATGCACTCTAGGATGTCCTATGGCACACATGGCTGGAGGAGCCAAACCTGTAAGGAGGTGTTGGTTAAAATGTCCTGCAGTTTTTACAATTTAGATGCAGGAATGTCTGTCCACAAACTACACTCAGCCAACCAAACAACAAACTGGTTACATATTTGGTTAGAAATTGTAGTGTAGAAGGTCCTACACCAGCAAATGTGGCTATTTCTGGCTCTGATGTTGAAAACGGTTGTTGCACTGGTGTAGATAGGCTCAGATGAGTTAATTTAACACCAGTGGAGATAGGAGGGGAAGGAAAAGGCTTGATATCTGTTGTCAAAGTTCTTTCTTTTTTTAATTGTAGCCATGCTGTAAAGGCCCATTATTTTATGATTAACCAAGACAGTAAAATGTATTGTATACATGGGGCCTACGTACATCAGCTTAGCAGGTTCAAAGTCTCAGACACCAAAGAGAAAACTGTTAGTCATTTAGAAGTATCTGTACTTAAAGAAACATGTCCAGAAAAATCTCATAAGACTTAAGGTTAAATTCACAACATATTTATACACAGACACACTGTATAATTAAAGAATTGAACCTTTTTTAACTAGATGTGCTTATTTGTTTGCATATAATACATTTATGTGCAAATTAGCAATCAGACATTTCTGATACATTGTATGAATTTGTTCATCAGAAACTGTAGCATGGATTCCTTACGATGTTACCTCCTTGCTGATAGCTTCATTCTCAGCAAATCCAGCATCAGTAGGTGAGCTTCAGTTCTAAGAGCTGTGGCATGAAGAATTTAATACACAGAAGAGCAAAATCATCGTGCAAAGTTACTATTTGAATGCAGTACCTGCTTTTCAATCCTCAACATATTGGTCATATTAATCTTATTTTAAATACACAACATTCTTAGCCCACAGTATGAAACCGAGATCATTGCTTTTAAATATAGCTCACTTTACTAGTAACCAAAAATCCTTATTATCAGACACCTATTTGTGGTATGTTTGAAATAACTTAGGCTCAGATCCCTCAAGGTATTTAGGCACCTAACTTCCTTTGATTTCAATGGAAGTTAGGAGCCTAAATCCCTTTGAGGAGCTGGGCCTTAGTGACCTCTCAGCACCCTTAGTCAGCAGGTATGTGCATCACAGCTGGCACTAATTGGCACCCATATTGGAAGACTCAGCAAACAAGCCAATTAACTGAATGGGCCATGACAACTGTGTATCTTCTCTACTCTGTAGTTGCTCCAGCTTGAGCAGGGTGAAGTTTTGCATGACAACCTATGCCACCACTGTCTGTGCTGCAACTTACATGATTAGAGAGGTCTGCAATCTCCAGGGTTATCCAGCTAGCTCCTTTCAGAGGCATTAAACTAAACTAGTGGCAAATTATGTAATATAAAAACCAAACAACTGTTCTGGGTTTAACCTGGTCAGTCTTCATTGGCTTTTGAGGTTCATACACCCTACAAGTTCCAGTTTTTGTACAATTACTTAATTCACTGTTCAGGTCACTAACTTAGTGCAGCATTTTCCTCCAGAATGCATTTGAAAAAAGGCGAAATTTACATTAAGTGCCAGGTGTTTTCACTCTTTAGAATACCAAAGAGAAAGCTAATATTTATTTAATTTAAATTTAGTGCTTACATCTAGATTACCAATCACTGCATATTTCCAAATGTCAATCATGTCCATTAAATTACCCTACACACAAATAGCGGTATTATCAAATCCTACGAATGAGTGACACCAGAAAGAGAAAAAGGCCACAAGTACAGAATACAACATAGATAATACAGTTAAGAGACCTATTGATTTTCAAAACAAGATACTATGAATGTTATATAATCTGCCACTATGTTACATTCAGTTTCGGCCGCTAAATCTTGCTGTGTCTTAATGGGAAAATGGAAAGGGAGGAATGAATGAATATATAGAAAAATATAAACAAGATTATTCAAAATTACACACTAGTTTGTATTCAAACTAAATATCAGAAAAGGCACATGATAAACATTTCAGTTACTAAGGACAAAAAACTAATGCATGGAGAAGTTATCTTCCTTGTGGTGGAACAATGAGTTGGACATTTTTACATAAGAATTTCCTTATTTGGGAGAAATATTTAAGGGCCTGATTCAAAGCCCCTTGACGGCAACAGGACTCCCACTGACTTCAGTGGGCTATGGATCAGACCCTTCTTCCATAAGATGTACATTGTTAACAGTTCTCTGTCCTGTTGTCTTTGGCCTATGTTCAAACTAAACCTTTGCAAAATTAGAGAGACAAGGTGGGTGTGGTAATATCTTTTACTGGACTAACTTCTGTTGGTGAGAGAGACAAGCTTTTGAGCTACAGAGAGCACTTCTTCAGGTCAGTTCCAAAACTAATCAATTACATACTTCTGTACCGACAAATCTATAATCTGCATTAAAGTGCAGAATCTTTGCCCAAAGCCATTGTAGATGCCAATGCTTTTCAAATGTACCCACGCTCTCTGTTCTCATTCATATTTGTCATAATTCACAACGCTTACCAAAATCTCTTACCATGAAGAGGATAAGTTCCTCTGGTAGGCCAGTGTTGTGTAGATGTAAACCTACACACTGTCTTATAAATAAAATATAATACTTCTAAAATCTTACATACTTAACAGTTGCTGACATCTTTAAAAATGTCTTAATTTAAAACTAACCTAAATTTGACTAAGTATCAGAGGGGTAGCCATGTTAGTCTGTATCCACAAAAACAGTGAGGAGTCCGGTGGCACCTTAAAGACTAACAGTTTTATTTGGGCATAAGCTTTCCTGGTGACTTGCTTTAATCAGAGAGAAATTTGATAAACTGAACTCTGTTACATTAAAAGGCTGTAAGTGGTAGGTTCACTTACTAAAGGAATTACGTGAAAGAGGCAGAAGATTTAGAAGCACACATTATGTTCCTGTCAGCATCTAATTGATTAGATTACTGTGGGCCATGTATTCTAATATTTCTTATTAGAAGAGAGCTTTTGTTCTGCAATGGAATTACCAGAGGTTGGACGTTTGTCACTTCTGGAGAGGTACTGACAGGAGAGGTGTTTTAACTGATTTATAATTGCCATTTTTATTATTTAAAGAACATTTACAATTGAAAATGCCCAGGGATTTTACAGCATCCTTTTGAATCCTTCGGGTGTTGTAACTATATCTACTCTACATTCTTTAGCACACAGCATACAGTTGACCAGCAGTCAGGTTAATGCCATCTTGCCACGTCTCCTTTGTAACAAGTTTGTTTTTGCATCCTCAATTTCATTGGTCTGGATCCACTTGTATTCAGCTCAAGGCCCATGCTACCTGCAAAGGAGACCTCTGCTGCTGCACGTGGGGTGTGTCTACACTGCAGGTGGCAGTGAGCTGCCCAGCCAGGATAGACAGACTGGGGCTTGAGTTAGCACTCTAAAAATAGCTGTGTGGACATTGTGGCTCTGGCAGAGACTCCGGCGCCAACCGAGCTCAAGACCACCCAACCTCTAGGCTTCAGCTCAAATGGGTAGCCTGAGTCTCCGCCGGAGCGGCAAAGTCCACATAGCTATTTTTAGCACACTAGCTCAAGCCTTGCTAGTGTGAGTCCGTCTACCTGCGCTGCGAGACTTACTCCCAGCAGCAGAGTGGACGGACCCTCAGTATGCTAATACATGGTACAAGTAATAGCAGTAAAAAAGGCGGGGAGGGGAGATCGGCCAATTGCCCAGCTTTCAGTTTTTGTATAGCACTATGATAGCATCATGCCCATCATAACCTGTATACTCTGCCAGGTTGCTCCAGCATTGGGTCTGAAATGCTTTACACACACACACACACACACACACACATATCCCAAATCTGCCACTGAGACCCCACTTCCACCCCCTTAACTGATGACCTTAAATTACTCCTCAATTTCCAGTAAATGTATGTTCACTATTAGTTAAAGACTCCAGCTCTGATTTCAGTGGGGTTGCTCCTGATTTACACCAGCGTGAGAGACGAGACAAACACACATCACCACTATCAGACAACTTATTTTTGCTGGTTCCTTAGGTGGTGATTTAAGCCAAAGCATCATTGAACTTTGATTTTTCTGGTGATTATAACAAATATATTCCCAGATTGTGGAGATTTTGGTCAAACACCAGTTTGCTGAGAAACACATTTACAGCACTAGAACTGTTGTATTTCCAAAGCGGTCTGCTCATAATATTCAGAACACTTGAAGTGTGACGATGTTAGTCATGATTGTTTCTTTAGGCATTTGGCAAAATACATGTGTGTTACAGCTGTTTTCACATTTTAAAATGTTTACATATATACAATTTGTATATGGAGATTATAAACACGAAAGGTAAAAAAGATATAGTTCTTGTTTGTTTGAAGTTTATGCCTCTCAAAACTTAAGATCCTGTAGCAAAATTCTACATTTCTTACTCCTGCATGCTAATTTCTACTACAGTACGTGGTTTTCCCCTTACTTGTAAAGAACCGAGGGTTCATGCACATAGCATAATGTTTACATTGGTCACGTGCTTCAGAATACAAAATTCTGAACTCAATTTTGTTGTTATTTGGGACTGCATAAACCAAAGAAAAACCTCTTTTATTCAGGATTTGTACATGAGTTTTAGTTGTATTTCTACATATATTGGTCATCATGCAGAATAATCTTATCATATTCAATCTATTTATCCCATGTTAATTTTTGTGATTTTTGGTTATTCTTTACAGATTTAATAGAATTCTAATCAACAGCAAAACATGTTGTTTTTTCCCCCTTGGGTATGAGAGCAGGTTCTCTCTGTGATCACTGGCATCTCTGTTGTTCTTTCAAATTGTCTGAAGAGCAGATGAATGTGCAATGACTCAGTGATGCTGAGTTTCTATAAAATTTGAAGTAAACATTTCTGATGTCACCCAGCTAAACTGTAGAACTAAATGGAAGTCTCCCATAGCTGGAGGGGAAAAAAGGAACACACATATACATTACCACAGTTATAATACAGTTATTAACTAAATTATATTAGAGTTTTGTTGGGGAAGAAAGTCTGCTTTGTTTAGGTCTCATCCTAGTCCCTAGTGGATATCTGTTTATATCACAATGTCATCATACGATTGGGAACATTTCAGAAGGACTGCAAGCTGCATAAGAGAAACCTAGGACTCGGAGAATAAAGTTTGAAGAAACAATGTCAACTTCAACTATAAAGCTTGTGTCAGAATGCTTTTACCCACTATTGTTACAACTAACACTACGGTTACCATAACTAATTTTAGAGAGAGAGCAAAATTTCCCCCTATGTTTTGCCTGCTCAGAACTTCTTTAATTTATGCCAGGGGACTGGACCGGTACTCAGGCTGCCCCATGACTGGGGAAAATAAGTGTGTCTTAACTTCCTCTGCGCCCCTCTGCCTGTGCTGTGCTGGACCAAGATCTCCTTGACCACAACTCAGTGGGTGAGATTCTGTGCTGTGCCTGTAAGGGCATGTCTACACTTACCTCTGGAGCGATTGATCCAGCGGGGGTCGATTTATCGCATCTAGTGAAGACGCGATAAATTGACCACCGAGCATGCTCCCGTCGACTCCGGTACTCCACCAGAGCGAGAAGCGCAGGCGGAAAAAAATTGGTGGGTGCTCAGCACCCACTGGCAGCTCCCCGTGGCCCCGCCCCACCCCCTGCTCCAGCTCGCCTCTGCCTCCACCTCCTCTGCAAGCGCGCCACCGCGTCCTGCTTCTCCCCCCTCCCTCCCAGCGCTTGCGCTGCAAAACAGCTGATTCGTGGGGCAGGGAGGGAGGGGGGAGGAGGGGGAACGTGGCATGCTGGGGGAAGAGGCGGGACCAGGGCGGGGATTTGGGGAAGGGATCCAATGGGGCAGGGAGGGGCGGAGTTAGGGCGGGGACTTTGGGGATGGGGTTGGAATGGGGGCGGGGCCAGGGGCGGAGATGGGGTGAAGTCGGGACAGGGGTAGGGGCAGGGAAAGGGGCGGGGAGGCACAGGCACCCACTGGCACCAGAGAAAGTTGGCACTATGGTCGACGGGGGAGCATCAGCAGTTGACCTACCGCAGTGAAGACACCGCGGTAAATAGATCTAAGTATGTCGACTTCAGCTATGTTATTTACATAAATGACCACCAAGCATAGAATAAATGTTCTATGTTATTTACATAGCTGAAGTTGCGTAACTTAGATCGATTCCCCCCTCCAGTGTAGACCAGGCCTAAGTATTGCAGCACAGAGCTCGCAACACAGGGAGGTGGGGGGACACGAAGGTGGCTTTAGCCCTGCCGATTCTGGGCTGCTGCAGGGGTTGGAGCAGATCCCAGTGTAATTTAGACAGCTCTGGCAATAGACAATACACTCCAGAAATCCTGGCAAGGAACAGTTATTTAGGATTCATTATCTGCCAGCACAAGTTAAAGAATCCTTGTGCTAGAAGCCAGCTCAGCCCCCAGCAGTCTCAAAGTTTATAGAGGAGGAAGACTGGCACTTGTGCCCGGACAGCTCCCCAGGTGCCTTGGCTGCTGCTCTGGCACATCTGGGAATCTGTCTCTGTTTTCCTTTTAAAGACTGACAGCAAAATTAGTCACTATGTTGCAGGCTGGCTGGCCCTTTAGGCAAGCTGGGCTCAGCCTCGGCCAGGACTTAGCGGCTATCCCTCACCCTCACCGAGGAGCTGGCAACAATAAGGCCAATTAGAGAACCCAGCTGGGTGTAATGGGGCTTAATTAGAAAGACTGACCCCAGCTGTAGTGATGAAGCAGGGAGAGCACACTTTTAAATAGAGGGGGGAACTGGGAGTGGACGACAGGGGATGTATCCCTTGATGATTGCCTGTTCTGGGCATTCCCTCTGGAGCATCTGCCATTGACCACTGCCAGAAGATAGGAGTCTGGACTAGACAGACCATTGGTCTGACCTAGTATGGCTGTTCTTATGTGCTTAATTTGGAGAAGGAAGAGCCTGGAGAGAGAAACAAGGATAGTTCTCCTCTGGGAAGCGCCTGAGGAAGTCAGGCTGAATCAACCACTAGGAGCAGGGTAGGCTCCAGTGGGAGAGAGCCTTGAGTTAGGGCCCGCAACAGGAGAAAGAGACCCACAGGGAGTGGAGTAGACTCCTGTGAGGGAGTCCTGAGATAGGGCCTACAAGGAGCAGGGAGATCCTCGGAGGCACAATGCTGGTGTTCCTGGTGAAGGAAGAGAAGCTCTGAAGGGGCCAGGAAGCACAAGGTTTCAGCCAAGCCTGAGAAGAACTATAAATGTTGACCTTATTTGAACTTTAAGTTGGACCTTTATTCTTCCCTTAAGAGGACTGAATGATTATGAGATTTGGCCAGAGGGGATCAGGAGAAGATGCTGGCTAGGACTGGCCACTGTGGGGCTAAGGAAGTGGCCAGCAAAGAGTATGAGCGGGAAATCCCCTGCAATGCTATGTCCAGGCATGAGGGGGCCACATTAAAACATTTCCTCAATTAAGAGTTTTTCTCTGACTATACATAAAGAAGGAGAGACACATACCCTGGCACTTTGTCTTTTAGCTTTCTTCTCCTCATCAGGAAGTGGAGGCATCGGGTATGGGTATTTTCTGCTGGAGGCAATAGATCCAGTAGAGGAAGATGGAGACTTTGCAGGAGACAGAGTCCTGAGATGTTGAAACACACAAAATAAATATGATGTCTTTGGGCACCGGCACTTCAACTGCAAGTACTTGAAAGCTTGATTCAAAATGTAAATGCATACTTTATGAACTCAGTACTAGAAAAAAATTGATCAGTACTCTAAATATTAAATTATTATCAATAAAAATCACTCAGATGCTTACAGCTTTCATTAATACTGGAAGGAAAACTTAAGGCTGCTGCTTATCTTTCATTAGTGTACTTTCCCATAATAAACAGTTTCTTAAACTATATTACATAGCATTTTATCTTATCATTATAAAGTTAACAAACCAAGTCACCTATAGAATAAATAGAGAACTAAAACACAGAAAGGACACTGACCTTTAAATATAAACAATGCTAGTATAATCACAACCAAATATTCTACCAGTGAGTCAATAAATGGCAATAGATAGTGGTCTTTTAAATAGCTTTTATACATTCCAATGCTAAAATACGAACACAGAAGATAAGATATTAATTTACATAAAATGCATGCACTTGGAGGCCAAACTGTTAGTTGTGAAGAAACAAAGGCAAATACAAAGTGCTAACAACAAATTATTAGACATGCAAGCATCAAACAGTGCATAGTGTTCCAGCCAAAGAAAGAGTCTCATGAGAATATACAAAAATGAACTGATTAGTCTACTGCAATCAGCATTTCTGTACAAGGTGAGCAGAGTAAGCAGGAGCAAGTCAATGTTTGTATCACATGAAAGGCATTCTTTTTACGTCAATAAGGTGGCAGGACTTTATTGACTGGAATTTTACACATGGGAAAATCTCGGACACATCCCTTTTGAGATTCTGCACTTTTATCCAATGAGAGGATCCTATGAGGCTCCATCTGTGGATAATAGAGAAGAAAAAAAACAAACTGGAAGTAGAAAATCTAAATTACCCTATCTTGTTAGTTTCATTTTGCAGACAGAAGGCCAAACTTTGACAAGGGGCCTCCATATGGCTGCCATTAGCGGCCATCCCTCACGTCCCTCACACACTTTTTGAGCACTTTTACCTACATGCTCCAATTCTAGGATGTGCTTGAGGAAAATGTTGCCACTCAGTTTGTGCATGCACATTCTCAACCACTGCACTCATAGCAAGAGACTGCAGTCGTGAGATACATTAACATCACAGTCATCAGGAGCTCAAATCAAACAGGACTACTCATAGTAGTCAATACAATGCCCAGTAGTAAGTTTTTGTAGGGTTGGGCCCTTATATACTAGTGTAGGCTCAGAAACAGGCTATGGGCTCTTAGTGATGAAAACTTTGCTCTCTGTTATGTTTAATAGCAACTCATTTAAATGTAAAGAGTTTTTTAAAAACTTTTTTAGTCTAGTACATTGTCATGATTGTGTCTGCGATGGCCTATAACTGCACGCTCTTGTTTCCCCTACAAACAATGGCTGATCGTAGTTATGACCAGCAAGATGCCAATGGAAATTACATGGGAGCTTGTGACAGGTGTGAAATTGATGTCATCAGTGTACATGTACTGTACTTCTAAAGTCCTGTGCTGTAATCTCTCAAATGTCATACTAGTTTATGAAAGGACAAAATTATAACCATACTGTTCTATACGATATTAAAAAGTAAGTCCTCAGCAACTGCTTTTTGAGCACACGGTGAGATAGAACAGCACACACACAGATATTTCCAGGATGACAATTTTAAGCCTCTACTGAAATATGAAATAAAGTATTTTTGTGTGCAACATTGCATATCTAACTGAACACCAAACTGCCAATGCAAAAAATCAGGCTGTTTTTAAAACTCAAGGGAAAGGCTCACAATTTTTCAGACCCATCCGCTCACTAATGCTAATCTCATTTGCACTGACAAAGGTTCGTAATGATATTTTTCTCCTTCATTCAAAGGAACAATGGGCTCTATAGTCAAAAAGAAAACCAGGAGCCTTTTTTACACTGATAATGAGACCTAAAGGTTAAAAACCCTTCATTTTTTAAAACACAAAATATGAAGTAGCAGGAGATAAGACCTGAGGGTGTTCACTTTGGATTCTGGGGTCTCTATCTGAGAATAAGATGTTTATCTCAATATCATGGCCAAATTTTGTGTGTGTGTGTGTGTGTGTGTGTGTGTGTGTGTGTGTGTGTGTGT